AAATATACATATATTCCTATTATAGATATTAATAAAGTATATTGCTTACATATGTATGTTACTATTTATGCAAAATTTTAGGCAAAAGCAAACAAATGTTCTAAGAAGTAAGAAGGGAAAATGATGGTGCATTTTTGGATTGTAAAAAAGAGTAAAATTTTTATATTTTTTTCAATCATATATTAATGAAAAGGAATATGTTAAAAAATTTAGAAAAGTATTTATAAAAAAAATTGAAAAACAAAAAATCTTTAAAAACATGCATAAAAACGAATATATAGAAATTGTTAGAAAAATTTAAACTATAGAAAAAGTAATTTAAAAAAAAAACAGAGATGTACAAAAGTTCTAAAAAAAGTATCTTTATAAGAAAACTAAGTTTTAAAAACCTATAAAAGCAAAGCTGTAAAAATAGTTGAGCACAATTTGCAAAAACAAAAAATTTTAGACAAAATTCGAAAAAGACATTTGGACTAAATTTGTATCAAAATAACTATAACCTAGGCAAAAATTGTAAAAAGAACAGCTGGGTTGGTCACACTTGGATTTGGATACATGACGGGGATGACGGGCAAAAAGATTTGAGTTTTATGAGATATAATAAACACATGGTTCAAAAGGGCCACGGGCTAGCCATAAAATTAGCAAGAAAAGAAAAAGAATATATTAAAGTTACTACTCACATTGATATTTATATAAATATACAAAATTTATTTAGAAAAATTAATCGCGTCTAGTTCAAAGTTTGAGAGGAAAATATATATATATATATATATATATATATATATATATATATATATATATATATATAATATATATATATATATATATATTAAATATTGAAGGGTATCTTAGAAATTCTCTAAAAGGTAAGGGAAAAAAAAACTCGCAAAAGTTTAGAGATACGGTACGGGACCATAACGCCGTGGAGGTGCCTATGTGGCACCTCCATAACGCCGTCGTAACACCACAAATACCGCCCATACTTCTCGTTTTGGTGTTCCTCGTTGCTGGCATAACATCCCATAACACCAGTTTCTTTCTTTCTTCCTCTTTCTTTTATCTGTTTTTCTTCTTAATTTTCGTCACCTCAACGAGGTTAAGATTGGGAATACCACCCCCCTCTAGAAGTTATGAAGAGTTGTAGGTGATGTGACACCCTTGTGGATGGGAATGAGTGTAACCCATACCTAATGCTCTTAAAAATCCAAATTACATTGTTTTTATACAGAACATCCATTCCAACCTGAGATACTCTAGAAAACACAAAAACTTTCAAGAATGTCCGGAAAGACTTTAAAGATTATGGAACATTTCATAATAACTTAGAAGACATACAAACGTTACTAGATATACAACCTAATAAGTGACTATAGAAGCACATAAAACACTAACGAGTACCGGAGTATCATTAATTGAGATACGTATCACACAATTCCGTTGAAAATGTCGCTAAAAATAATATAACTTTAATTTAAATTTTTATTTTTTTTAACGATAAAATAACATTAATATTGAATATTTACTCTTGAAAAGTAGCTAAAAATAATACTACAAAATTAAATTAAATTTCTATTTTTTTTAACAATAAAATAACACGGATATTGAATAAATTTCTACAAATTCATTTTCAATTTCAATTTTCTAACATTGAAAACCTTGGGTTTGGACCTTTCACCCACCTTTTTCGTCGTTTACCTTTATATACTCCATATCCCAGTATCCCATCCAATTCCGCTTTCGTCGTTTACCTTCATCCAAGTGTTCCTGCCATTACAACCCACCCAAATCCGGCTACGAGAAACATCAATTGCTCTGTGATCTTCGTTTCATGCGTTTCTTCTTATCTTCTTATGTTCTTCCGGCCACTGAAATCTGGCGACCAGATCTCCAGAAGCACCATCATCTGTGTTTGTTCTCATATTATCATCTTTCTCCGGCCGCTTAAATCCGGCTAGTAGAATCTTTCTCCATTTTCCATGCCGTTGGAGATGCTTTTATTCTTTTCAACAGATCTGTGTGTTCATGGTATGTTTCAATCTTTCTACTTGTTTATTATCTCACTCATTCTAGCTGTTTAGCGTTTTTCCATGCTTACATGATTATGTCTCTGTTTAGATCAATACTGCAGATTGGGTTAATTTTCATAACTGTGTTTGTTTGTTTAGGGTTGATTTTATGTGTGTTTAAGTTTAACTTTACAAGCTTATAATTTTTCTTAGTTTAACTTTTTCATAGTTTTAGTTTAAGTTTAAAGTGAATTAAACAATAAAACACAGAACTGAAAGTGATCTGATTTGGATTGTTAAACAGTTGTTTTAGGATAAGTCTACCTGTTAACCCGGGAAATTTGGATAACAAAGGTGGAGAGGATGCCGTGATGTTTAAAACTGAAGTTTATATTCATCCAACCTACTATTTTCATGCCATTAAAAAGTCAAATCTAAACGAAATTTTCTTCTTGTTTTGGTCTAAGCTATATCATGTAACCCAAAACCCTAAACTTTATACCATACAAAATAACAACCATTACACTAAATAAACAAAATTATGGGTTTTGAGAAATCAATAAGAACAAAATTGCAAGAACAACCAAAATGCTTAGCTAACTGAACACAAATCGAACTGAACAACATATTAAACGCTTTTCGAGTAAATGAAATAAATGAATCGGTTGATTGGAGGTGGATGGAGATAGAAAACTATTTACAAAATTAAGTCGGTTGCAAACACTACTAGAAAAACAATGGTCTAATATGGTTGAATGTATACATATAATACAAATGATGAATCGTCTTCATAGAGCGGAGTATTAGATTAAACAACCTAATAGAGTACGGTTATTTAACCGTACACTATACCCATTCCAACCATAAATCAAAACTTCAATCTAATACAGTCATAAATCAATACAATACATGCATGTAACCGTACTATATATGATTGAATCGAAACTACAATCCAATACAATCCTAAATCAATACAGTATATGCATATAACCATAATATATATGATTGATCAGCAACCAACCAAACATATTATATGATTTCATTCCCTCCCTACTAAATACGCTTTTATTCAAACCAGAAGAAAATTAAAGTGGTACAACAGTGATCTTGTTTTCATTTTCAGAAACAAAAAAAAAAAATTACAATGAACCACTTAGTTCATTAAACATAAAAACATTAATATTCTTTCAGACTTATCCACTGTCTATACAATCTAAAAGACTATCATTTGTATACCTAGTTCATTAAACATAAAAACATTCTTAAATTTGTTAAAATATCACACCTTTAGCCTCTCTTTCCCTTTTGTGGCTGATTAATTGTATACCTACAAAAACAAGAAAACTTAGGATTCATACTCTCAAAATCCCAAATAATTTTTAATAGGAAAAATATAAAGAAAACTCAAATTATAGGACCTTCATGCCATTAACAACTTCATAAGAATAGAAAAGGTATGGGACATATAATATCTAAATTCCATGAATATGAACCTAATTATAAGACAACTTAATAATAAGAATAGAGCTTAATTTGTACATAATGTTGTAAAATACAAGTACAACCCAATTATATGATTGTAGATAAAAAAGAGGGAGAAATTAGGTTAAAAATGAATGATATCATGATTATAGAGACTATTTGTGGAATTTATTTATTAAATTACTAAAATACCCTTATTTAATTATTTAATTTTCATTGGCTCGAAATCATTTCTACATCTACATAATAATTAGTTGGAACACTTGAGCCTACCTTTCTTTTCTCTCTCTCTCTCTCTCTCTCTCTATATATATATATATATATATATATATATATATATATATATATATATATATTAGTTAATAAGATTAATTACCTTGGGGATATTCCAAGTCATTAGACACAAACATGATCTATCAGTTTCTATTTTTTTAAACCTTGTGACAACCTTAAAACAAAACTAAACAACAATGTTTCGTTAAAATTTATAAAAAAGATATATCATTTGGAATACCAAAATAAAAAATCTCTTATTCACATGTTCAATTATTGTATAGTCTTTCAATGTCTTTGTCCTTCGGGTGGAATTCAAAATGTAGCTTTTATGTTGATAAGGACAAATCACTATCAATATCCAATGTTTCATAGTAAATATTAAACATATTAAACACAAAAAACTTTTGATTAAAAATATCGCATAACTGTAAAAGATATAAGAATATCATACCTTTCCCAATATGCTGCAAGAAAAAATTGTTTTTCCTGATGAAAATTCATCACATCAACAAGATCATTGATGACATGATTTGTTTCACCCATATCATCGTATTCACATCTCTTAGATGAGATATCTTGTGGGTTTATAAAAGCACATTTATTATCCATTCTTGATATATGTATCTACTATAATAAATGAAGGTTTTTTTGCCACATGTCATATTCTCATTCATTTGGACACATGACATTTTCTAGAATTTTTAAATTTTCTATTTTCCACTTGTTATTTTATTGTATTTTTCATTTTATTAAATTAAAATTCCACATTTAATGTGTAAGGTAATATATATGTAAAGTATTTATTAGAAAAAGTTATATATGTAATATATTCAATACATTAAAGTCTAATTAATTTTAATTATTCAAATTTTTGTTATAATTCAAACTTTTTAAATTGTTAAAATTTTATATTTAATTTTTTTAATTAAACCCATGTAATACATGGGTCTCACACCTAGTCAGTAAATGTAGCATTCTTAAAAAACACAATAGAAATTATAATGGTAAAATAATATGAAACATTAATACTGTAAATGTTAAAGTAGTTACATTTGATACCATAGAATACAATTAATATCAAGTTGGTTGTTGTTCAACATCTCCATAATGGCTATTAGGCTAATCATGGTTTCAACACTTGTAACTTTGAAGATCTTGGGTTTAGACACAATAATAAATGACTCCGAAATGTTGTGGCTCTTAAACCATCCATGCAATGGTTGGATAATCGATCTACCCTAGGGTTTCTTTGGCATCATGGTTTTCTGCACCGTTTGGTGTAACTTTTTGTTTTGTACCTACATTAAGAAACAAAATGATTATCATGAAAACTATATTTCTATGTGGTCCATTAATTATGAAAATAACAACAATAAAAACGACTTAGATAGAGAGAGTGAGGTTGGTGTCATATACCCTATTTTATGGTTCATCTCCCATCATCTCTTTAGATGCTTCAAGTTTCCTTCTCTTCTTTCTAGGAATATTTTTCTACCACTAAAAAATAATAAAAAATGCAGTATATTTTGAGGGCTAAATGCTAAAAATAGCAACATTTTATTTATTGTAGCATCCAACTTTCATATCTTTTCATTGTAACATTATACATTTAACTTTTTATCTTGTTAAGGCATGTTAATATATAATATCTTTCAAAGATCCTTCATTTTTTTGGACGACTTTTGTATAATTAGTAGATTTTTCAAAGCATATGCTACAAGAACAAACAAAAGTAAGATGCTATTAAAAAACAACATATGAAAGTACGTTGCTATTTCATGTTTTCTTTCTTATTAAAGAAAACGAAAGAAAAAAATTATGCACCTCATACACTTGCTTTTTCTTTGCTTTCTTTTTACGCTCTTTAGATTATTCAACATTCACATTTTCTTTCCCTTTTTCCTAAACTCCAAATTAAAAGAATATATTTTAATATATGCATGTTTTTTTATGGGAAGTTAAATATAATTGAAAATAATACATTTCCAGAATTCTAAGTTTGAGTAGCTACCTGGTCATGAAGAATAGGAGCAGTTGGGGTCGACATTGGTAGCGGTTCAATGAGAGGTCTTTTATCTTTCCAGATAATTGGAATTGAGTTTAGTAAATAGTCGCAGATGCATGTGATTAGATATTAATGTACCTTAATAGGAGTAATTGAATCTTAGGGCCATTGAATAAAACTATGAAGTGCCTTACCCAGATTATATACACCTTCAGTTGGGGAGACTAGAAGAAGGAAAGATTGATGATCTCTATAGATAATATCCTTCGATACCATCAAGTGACCTCCGACTTCTAGAGGAATCAAATGAATTACCCCATCTCCGGAATGGAAGCCAGTTCCTTTGGCTGATGATGGGCGTACTGTGCCATATGGTAGCTTCAACTTGCAGTCGGTGGCTTCCTAGAAACAAATATACATTTTATTTAATGTAGAGTTATATTATCAAACATGCAAATAAATATATATATATTTTAGAAAAAATACATATAGGTATCTTATGTAACTTATCCAACACTGGTTGTCTTCAATCTAGAAAAATTTGTCTTCTGCCATATTAGTTATCTTATGTTGCTTTAACACATCAACCACTATGGACACTAATTGTCCCGCCATAGCAATCATCAACTTATCTTTGATCTTGTCATAAAAGTTGTTATTTAACATCCCTGTCTCTAGCTTCTCTTGTAAGCTCTAAAATTCCTTGAGATAACTGAACATCATTTTGGATCTTTAAATACAAACAATAAAACTGTAAGAGCAGTTTATTTAATAAAGAATTTTCAAAGGGACGTGATAACAACATTAAAATGAAAGATCACTATCTTACATTCTCACCTGCTTAAGGCTCGATCTCTGCGTTATTACCAATTGCCCTGATGAATTACGTTTTCTCCTGGCATAAATAAAATTTCTTTACCCGCTTGCTTGATACATTGTGGCCTTATTGTTACACCAGACGCAACCTCTTCATCCCATTTGTTTTCGTTATCATGATACCCGCTTGGGCTGATGGTTCTTGTTTTGATTTGCGGTCTCCCTCCCTTTACTTCTTAATTCCTTTACAAATGAATTATGCAATTAAAAATAGTAAAAATTAATAATATCATCAATAGGAATAAACTCAAAAAAACCTCAAATTCTTCCATGGATTTTAGAACAAGGAAAATTTTCCACATTGCTTTGTCAAGGTATGAGTATTTTTTACTGGATTGATACCTTTGACCTGGCGGTTGGCTGCATGCAAAACCTTAAATTTTGAGGTTAGTGCCTCTATTTAAGGGATGCGATGGCTAGGGCTTCCACACTCTCAGCCTCTATCACCTCCTTTTCATCCCAAGCAAACCCTAGCCTTCGTTTTTGTGTTCTTGAAGTTAAGTGGTGATTTTTAGAAGGTGTTCCCCATGTATAGATCCAACAAACAAGCTACCTCACCACCTCTTTGCTCATATTCTAGACCATTGTAAGTCCTTAAGTTCCAATATTTATGTGTTATTCTTCTATATCTAGGGTTCTATACTTTTTCTCCTAGTTTGACAAAGCAATGTGGAAAAAATTTCTTGTTTTAAAATCCACGGAAGAATTTGAGGTTTGTTCGAGTTTATTCCTATTTATGATATTATTATGTTTTACTATTTCTAATTGGATAATTCATTTATAAATGAATTAAGAAGGAAAGGGAGGGAGACCGCAAATCAAATCAAGAACCATCCCTGGTTAGGTCCAAGAGGGTATGGTGATAACAAAAGCAAATGAGATTAATAGTTTGTGTCTGGTGTAACAATAAAAGGCCACAATATCTCAAGCAAACGGGCAAGAAATTTTATCAATTTCAGGAGAAAAAATAGTTCATTGGGGCAGTTATAACGCCAGAGATCAAGCCTCTAGTATATGAGATTGGAAGATAGTGATCTTTCATTTTAAAGTTGTTATCATGTCCTTTTGAAAGTTCTTTATTATTAAAACTTCTCTTACAATTGTATTGTTTGCATTTATTGATCCAAAACGATATTCAATTATCTCAAGGAGTTTTGGAGCTTGACCTCGATCTGATCTATTGACGGAGGTACTAGGACGGGAACATCCCGATCGCATGAGGGCAGTTGGTCACGTTATCGGCCTAAAACAATCAATGATTATAAGACAAAAAAGAAAGCTCATGAGTAGGGGTGCAAACGAGCCGAGCCGAGCCCGAGCCTGGTCAGGCTCGGCTCAGGCTCGTTTAAGTTATACAAGGCTCGAGCTAGAGCTCGGCTCGATTCGAGCTTTCTTTTACTGAGCTCAGCTCAGGCTCGTAAAGAATTATACAAGCTCGGCTCGGGCTCGGGCTCGACTTGTTTGTCGTTTGATGTGCCTAAATAAGCTTAAGCTCGACTCAAGCTCGTTAAGAAGCTCGTTTACTAATACCCGAATTCCATAATTTCCCAAATATGTTTTTATTTTAATATATGAAAATAATAATAAATTATATTATATAAAGGCTCGTTTAGGCTCGCGAGCTTAATCGAGCTTAGTGACATAGGCTCGAGCTCGAGCTCGTTTAATAAACGAGCTTAATATTAAGCTCGAGCTCAGCTCGGGATCGTTTAAAACCGGTTTCGAGTCGAGCTTTTAACAAGCTGATTCCGAGTAGCTCGCGAGTAACTTGGCTTGTTTGCACCCTTACTCATGAGTTACCCAATTTTGAACAGTTGTAAGAGAAGCTAGAGACGAGGATGTCTAATAACAACTTTGATGACAAAATCGAAGATAAGTTGAATATTCATATGGCGGAACAATTAGTGCCCATGGTGATTGTTGTGTTGAAGCAACATAAGATAACTAATATAGTGGAAGATACAAATTTTTCTAGGGGAAGACAATAGTGTTGGATCGAAGACATCCATGTTATTGTTGGATGAGTTTCATAAGATAATTGTATGTATTTTTTAATATATATATATATATATATATATATATATATATATATATATTTGTTTTCATGTTTGATAATATAACTCTACATTAAATAAAATGTATATTTGTTTGTATGAAGTCATCGACTATGATTTGATGCTACTATATAGTATAGTACGCCCATCATTACCAAAGAAACCATATTCTCTTCTTGAGATGGGGTAATTCATACGTTTCCTCTAAAATCAGTTCACGTGAGGGTATCGGTCGATATTATCTTTGGAGATCATTATTCTATCCTTCTTCTAGTCTCCCCAATTAAAGGGGTATATAATTTGGGACAGGCACTTCATAGTTTTATTTAGTGGCCTCGAGAATCTATTATTTTCATTAATATACATTAATATCTAATCACATGCATCTGCGACTATTTAATAAACTCGATTCTAGTTATGCAGAAAGATAAAAAAAAAAAACTCTCATTGAACCACTACCAATGTCGACCTAAGCTAATCCTATTCTTTATGACCAAGTAGTCACTTAAACTTACATTTGTGGAAAGGTATTATTTTCATTTATATTTAAAGAGATGATATGGGGTGAAGCGAAAAATAAGGTATATGACAAACCTTTCTCTCTCTCTCTCTATATATATATATATATATATATATATATATATATATACACACATATCTTATTGGTATTATTTTCATTATTAATGGAACACATATCAATATAGTTTTGATGATAATCATTTGGTTTCTTAACGAAGATACAAAAAAAGTCATACCAAACGGTGTAGAAAACCATGTTGCCAAAGAAACCTGAGGGTAGATCGATGATCCAACCATTGCATTGATGGTTTAAGAGCCACAACATTCCGGAGTTGTTTACCGTTGTGTCTGAATCCGTGATCTTCAACATAGATCGATGATCCAACCATTGCATGGATGGTTTAAGAGCCACAACATTCCAGAGTTGTTTACCGTTGTGGCTGAATCCGTGATCTTCAACATTGCGAGTGTTGAAGCCGTGATTAACTCAGATGTTGAATGTTGAATAACTTGATATTAGTTGTATTCTATGGTATCAAAGGTACGGACCTTAAGATTTACAATGTTCATGTTTCATATTATTTTACCATTATAATATATATTGTGTTTTTTTTTCAGAATGGTACATTCACTGATGCTTATATTGAGAATGGATAATAAATGTGCTTTTATAAACCCACAACATATCACGTCCAAGAGATTTGAATACGATATAGGGGTGAAACAAATAATATCGTCGGTGATCTTGTTGATGTGATGAATTTCCATCGGGAAAAACAAATTTTTTTCTTGCACCATATTGGGAAAGGTATGATATTCTAATATCTTTATTGTTATTTGATATTTTTAATCAAAAGTTGTTTATATTTAATTTGTTTAATCTTTATTAAGAAACATTGGATGTTGATAGTGATTTGTGCTCATCAATATAAAAGCTACATTTTGGATTCCGCCCGAGGGACAAAGACATTGAAAGACTACACAATAGTTGAATATGTGAATAAGTAAGAGATTTCTTATTTAAGTATTCCAAATGATATATATTTTTATAAATTTTAACGAGACATAGTTTATTTTTTTTAGGGTTGTTACATGGTTTAAAAAAACAAAAACCAACATATCACGTTTGTGTCCAAAAATCTCCCCAAGGTAATTTAGATATTGTATGTCCCACACAAGTAGATCTTTTATATACTTATACAGTTGTTAATGGCTGGAATATCCTATAATTTGAGTTTTCTTTATATTGTTCCTATTAAAAATTATTTGGGATTTTGAGAGTATGAATCATAAGTTTTCTTGTTTTTGTATCCATACAATGAATAAGCCACAAAAAGGAAAGAGAGATCATAGGTGTGACATTCAACAAATTTAAGAATGCTTTAATGTTTAATGAACTAGGTATGCAAATGATAGCCTTTTAGATTGTATAGATTATGGATAAGTCTGAAAGAATATTAATGTTTTTATGTTTAATGAACTAAGTGGTTCATTTTAACTATTTTTTCTATGTCTGGAAATGAAAATAGGATCAATGATGTGCCACTTTAATTTTCTTCTGGTTGGAATGGAATCATATTTATTAGGGAGGGAATAGAATCATATAGTAGGTTTGGTTGGCTGCTGATCAATCATATATAGTAAAGTTATATGCATGTACTGTATTGATTTAGGATTTTATTACATTGCAGTTTTAATTCAATCATATATAAGACAATTACATGCATGTATTATATTGATTTATAACTGTCTTAGATTGTAGTTTTGAAGTTTTTATTTATGGCTGGAATGGGATATACAGTACGGTTAAATAATTGTACTCTATTAGGTTGTTTAATCTAATACTCCCCTCTACTTGTTATATGTATCATTCAACCATATTAGATCATTGTTTTTCTAGTATTGATGTTATGTAAGTTTAATTCATATGCTAATTTCATGGAATACATCACAACTGTTTTCATGCAATTTCTCTTTCATTTTCTTATTTATTGCCTTTATTTTCTTATTTTGCAAAAAAAAAATGAATTATGTTCAATAAAGATATCAAACTCAAAGAGAATCACATATAAAAATTATGCATCATGGTTTGAAATTGCCGTTCAACCATTGCCATAAAGCATTTAAAGGTGGCATAGACATCATATTTCTATTTTAGTGGAAAAATCCACATAAAGTGAGAGCATTGGTCAACACACAACATAAAATAGTTTTGACCATCAAAAGAAGAATCGGTGCACGACCCCATACATAAAAAAAAAAAAAAACTAAATTTGAAATATGCAAACTTTTGTAAATAGATGGCAATAAGTGCAATTTAGATGATTTTCTAATAAAAGTTGAATCATAAAAGGTGCGAAAACATTTAATTTAGATGATAACATAGACTTCAAAATTTGTGGATGTGGATGTCCAAGTCTTTGATGTCATGTGATGGAGGATGCACGGGCAGTTGAAAAGATGACTTTAGAAGGAATCAGATGAGTCTGAAGAACACGAAAGGAGTAGAGACCGCCATTACTGGACCCATGAGGAGGATAATGTGTAGACTTGTCCTTCACAACACAACAATTAGAGTGAAATTCAAAATAAACATGATTATCAAGACAAATTTTTTGGACAAATAGTAGGTTTTGTTTGATTTTAGGAACATGGAGTATGTCATAAAGTGAAAAAGTTTTTATTGATGAAAAAAAACGTGAGGAACCAACATGTAGAATGGGTGAACCCTTACCATTACCATCGCGAAGTTTGTCCTCACCATAGTGAGCCTCAAAGTTATCAAAGCTAGATAGGTCCGGTGCAACATGGTGACTACAACAAGTATCCGGAAGCCAAGAACTGGCATGTGAGCGATAAGTTGTGAAGTTGGCTAACGGTGTCTGTCTTGGTCTTATAGTATGGTATCAAGTTAGGGCACTGAGACATGATATGACCAATCCCACACCTGTTGCAAGTACCAAAAACAATGGTTTGAGTAGAAGCCCAACTAAATTGATTGCGGTGACCTCTTTGTTTTATGTTGGTGTAGTTTTCATGACCACGGTGACACCCACGACTAAGATTATTCCCAGATCTATTGGTGTAAAAGGCTTGCGCAATTTGTTAGGTAGTGGGCTGGACTTGAAAGCCAAGTGGAGACAAAAGTTGTTGGACGGTCTGAAGTGGATCCGGTTGAGGTGTTGACAAGGTGGTGCTAGAGACTGTGGAGTTACAGTTGTTTGCAATAGCCATGAATGCTTGAGCCGTTGGGAGGTCATTAGCAAGTTTCTTGATCATGTAATCATGGTATGATAACAGGCATGGAGTTCAGCAATGGAAGTGGGAAATTGGTTGCCTAGTAGGGTAGATTTGAGGCTATTATACTCTTCACGAAGAAAAAATATGTCACACCCTCGACCGAGGCGGCAAAACACGTCGGTTTATACGACTAAGTTCATGGATCACAAGTAAACTGGATATATAGCACAATTACAACAATAAACAAATAAACATCCGTGTTCCATCTTGATATTTGATATTTGAATACAAGGTTTTTATAGATAGTAATAGTACATGACTTGCCTTAACAAATAGACATATAGTACCACAACAAGTAAACTAGGTCACCTGTAAGTAATCCTATCTGTCTTGAATGTTTGTTTA